AACTGCGCCACCTTGCAGCCCCATAAAGCTACCAATGAAAGGTAAAAGATTTCAGAAAACTGCTTGACATCTTTTTTTTTCTTGAATAAATAGATATTTGTTTGTGAAAAATATCAAAAATTAGCACCATGTTTCTGAGATTTAAAAAACCTGACAGTAAATCTCTTTCCAAATCAACTCTCTGCAAAATTTCTAATTATGAAGCTAGAGCACTAAGAGGTATTCCCCACTGGGTTTATTAAATGCAAAGAGCTGTCCCTCTTATTTCAACCTTTTATACCTTCTTGATAATGTCTTTAAAAAGTATGTTAAGCTATGAGGTAAAACAACTAAAATCTGAGGAAAAAAAAAAAAAAAAACGCCATGATGTCAAAAATGGATTCCTAGGTTTAAAATAAATAAATAAATGACAAAGCCTTCAAACTCTCCAAGAGATGAGAAAGTGGCAACCACACAAGTAATAACCTCATGCTGTAAAACATAGAAACTGCATGAGGGAATCACCATTTGGAGACAAAAAGAAAAGCTCACATACCTGTAAGAAAAAATAGGATTTTCAGATTTATCTATCAACTGTAACTGTTGCAACAGATATTCAACGCAATTTAAGAATGTGCTTTTTTCTTTTTTTTCAAATAAATCTTTATTTTTCAGTTTTAAATAGCCGAAAATAAAAAATAGACACAGGTGAATAAAACAACATGGTGATCATCCATACAGCTACATGTGCATATCGGTTATGGTTCCTGTTGAAGCTGTAAACCAACACTGAAGACCACCTAAAGAAGAAAATAGTTGCTTGTCTTAACTGTTGTCACATGTAATTCATTATCCTGAGAATATCAGTATCTGACGTCCCAATTTAAGTAAATACAACAATCAATATTGCTGATGAAAGAAAATATACACGCAGCTGACACCCATACGCTCTGAAAATAATACCGAAAACCCGTTCCACTCTCAGCTAACACAAAGAATAGTGATGAAAAGAAAAATTGCAGCGACCTTCTTCTTTTTTCACTTCTGGGGCTGAAAAACTTTAATAAACCTGATATTACACCTTCTGACAGACGTTGACGTCACCCTATTCCCCCGCAAACCTCATAATCTCATCATGTAAATCATTCTCAAGCAAAGAGTGCTGGCATAACGTCAAACCAAAGAAAGAGACTAAAATAATGAAGCCTGCAAGAGAGCAAAAGAGCAAACAAAGACAAAGAGTACAACAAACAGTGATCGCAAAGTTTTGGGCTCTCTTTTACACACTGCTTTAGGTCTTTGGGTCCATCGGGCCTCTCAGAGAGCGACCCTGAGGAGAAATACAATTCTGATCAATAATTAGTTCTGCCCCTCCCCATCCCCCCCCTTGAAAAACTTGGTCATCCTACACAACTCTTAATCTGAGCTACTTCAAATAACATAACCCCCCCTCCTCCCCGCACACACACACACACACACGCTCAAAATGACAGAGAAACACATCCAACATCAACCAGAAAGAAACACGGCAAAGATCGATTTCGTGTTAGCAAAAAAAAAAAAAAAAAAGGTCCACATGAGGGTTTGACCTGCTGACTCAGCCAGCCGGTCCTCCACATAGAGAGTCCTCCGTCGTCACAAGTCCGTGTTATCACAGAGCCGAAAACAGATCATGATGTAGGTAAACAGTCCACCAGTAAAAGAGACAAAAAGCTTCCAAAGATGTTCTGGCATGCACAAGAACTTTGAAAACACTGTCACGTGACAATTTCATGTCCTGTCCTATCGAAGCGAAGACAGACTGTGAAACTTGGAAATATCGGATATTTGCAGTTGTGCTGTTCAACACAAACAGGCTTCTTGAAGTCCAAAAATCTTCTGTCTGTCGCTGAGAGCAAATACTGGTGAGCAAACACCCTGTTACAATTAGGGAACTAAAGATATGCAAGAGAGAGAGAGGCTGAGAAATGTTTGGAAGTGTTTGCACCAGTGCAAATGTTGCTATTGTTGACAGTGGTGCTTACCCCACTACATCTTATGCTATACACGACACTGAACAACTCTGCAGAATAATGTAAGTTATTCTCTCAAAGTAAGGTTTGAGGTGATGATGAGAACGGTTTGCAAAATTGAAGAAACTGGTGACTTTTGTGCTGGTGCAAATCTTACCAGGTCTGACCCTTCCGACAACGAGGCATCAGTTTCAACCTCTGAGACGAGTTCAGAGGCTTCAGAAAAAAAGCTCTTTTTATTGGTTTAGAGGAGGGAAGCTTCGAATCTTCCTCGGTTGTACACCTAGAATATCTGGCAACCCGGGCAGAAAAAAGGGGGTAGCGTACGTCAGCTGGACTGGGCGTTGGGTCGAAAAGCACGTCACGACTCCTCGTTGCCCGAGTCGTCTTCGTCGTAGCAGCAGTCGCCGTCCCCGCCCTCCACGTCGTCGTCGTCATAGTAGTAGTCATAGAAGAGGTCGGAGCCTTCGTCGGGGGCCGGGGCACGTGTGCGGACGCAGTACTCGGCCAGCGTGGTGGGAACCTTCACGCCGTCGCGCTCAGCCTCTGCCTTGGTGGCCAACACCTGTTTCCTGAGAGACATTTCAAAGAATACAGACACTGTGATGAACAAACAGGGACTTTGGACATACAGACAAAAACTTCAAACGATAAACAGAGGGATTTTTATCCACAGGTTTTGCCAGCTGTTGTAAGAAAGAAAAAAAATAAGCATGGCTATGTGTGAGGATGCTGCAAGGTGGGTCGGTGGTTAGCACTGTTGCCTCGCAGTAAGAAGATCACCGGTTCGCGTCCTGTTGAGGACACCCGGGATCTTTCGGCGGGGAGTTTGCATGTTCTCCCCGTGCAGCGTGGGTTCTCTCCGGGTTCTCCGGCTTCCTCCCACAAGGTCCAAAAACATGTTGAGGTTCATTGGTGATTCTAAATTGTCCATAGGTGTGAATGTGAGTGTGCTTGGTTGTCTGTCTCTAAGTGTAGCCCTGTGATAGACTGGTGACCTGTCCAGGGTGTCCCCTGCCTTCACCCTGAGTCAGCTGGGATAGACTCCAGCCCCCCATGACCCTTGTGAGGATTAAGCGATGTATAGATAATAGCTGGATGGATGTGTGAGAATACTGTGTGACTGTTTACCTGATGATCTCTACGTATTCCCGGTCTTTGCCTTTGCTGTCCCTCCATTTGCGGTACATGACGGAGGCGTCCACGTTGGCAGGAGAAAAGGTGTTGGGTTCGTTCAGCAGCGAGATCACACTCAGCAGGATGGTCCTGGAAGCAAACACAGAGGTGAGTCAGTGTGACAGCATTTTAAACATGATACAAACACAAACGTTTTATGTGGAATATTTATTCTATATTACTCCTCATGTCCACTGTCTTATAAAATGTATTTTATGTTAGACAGTCAGTGGAGCTGCAACTAATGATTATTTTATTTTAAGTTAATTTGTCAGTTATTCTCTATGACTCATGCTGCTATTGTAAGAGATCACCAACAGAATTCCATTGTATTTTCATGTTCATTGATAATAAAGACTTGTTTAATCTTTCATTTTCTTGATGAACTGATTAGTATTTTGGATTACAAAATGTCAGAAATTGGTGAAAACTGTCGGTCAGTGTGTCCACAACAACCTCAAAGATATTCAGTTTATGTAATACAGGAGTAAAGAAATCACATAATAATAATGGAAGCAGCTGGAGTCAGGGAATGTGAATTTTTTTTGTTCTGTTAAAATTACGTAGACAGCATTTTAGTAGGCTAGCCTGTCATATTTAACACGACTGAAGCCTGTGTACAAACTGATACATGGATATGTTCACATTTTATTAAATTAGAATCATATTTAACAGGACGTTTGTGTTTCTGCATCCGTCCGTACAGACTGAAGGCTGTTGAAAAGTGTCTGAGTTCATTGCAGCTGAAGAGCTCTGTTCCCTGCTGCTGCCTACTTAAGTCTACTTTCCAGGCGAGGTGAAGTTCTATTGGCACCTGAAGTTTTCCTGCTATGACAAATCCATACCCAAAGAAAAGAAAACACTATTTAAATGCCTCATTTTCATATAAATTTTTACTTTTAATGGCCACCAGATTGTGCAAACAACAAATGAAAGCCTTCATAATTTTGGATATATAAAAACATAAACTGCATCTATTGTTGCATAGACTGTAAGTTGCTCTGTACAACAATGCTATGTAATTTTAAAACGCCTTCTAAGATTACTTTCAATGACTGACCTTATTGTATTTGTGACTGAGTATTAAGTGGGTTCGATAATGGTGGTATATTTATTATTTGCTGTCATGGAGAATTTCCTAATGGAACTTTTGTGAGAAAATGAGCTCTGACAAAAAAAAACCCAAAAAACAATAGCACTTTTGTTTAAGAAAACTGACATCTTACTTTTACCACATGTGATAATGCCTAGAAATTACAGTTCCATAAATAAAGCTCATAAAGATATGTATGGACTGCCTGTGGCCAACACATAAACCACATACGGTGCTGAAAGCTCACAAACAGACAGAGCGTTCTGGAAACTTGTGAAAAGACGCCACTGAGAACAAATGTCATGCGATAAGAGTCTGAGCCGGGTAAATTATTGAAGTGGCTGAGAGAGGACAAAGAAGGGAGGCAACCAGAAAGGAGAGCCATATGAAGAGAGATAATGAGGGGTGCTCTAACCGGACGTTCTGGGTGGGGTTCCATCTCTCTGAAGGCAGCTCTCCGCTCTGCGGGTCGTCCACAGGAGGGTGCAGTATAGAAATACACACATCTCCATTCTGAAACACAGAAAATCAATTCCTTTCACTCTCAGATGCATCAAAGGAGCTCTGCAAAACAGTTATTTAAATGGTGTTGGTGTTAGCCAGGCTGTGACGCTGTACCTCATAGATGTTGGGATGCCACATCTTGGTGAGGAAGCGGAAAGCAGGAGGGGAGTATGGGTAGTCTATAGGAAACTTGATCCGGGCCTGGAACACAAACAGATATTTGCATGTAGTCGTGCATGTGTTCTACCATAAAATGTCATTGCATAGTATGGAAACATCATTTCCTTTCTTACGATGATTGTGTGTATTGTGTGTTAAAAACCCAAACTGTCAACATTCCTCTTTGGTGGTGTTGTGCGAAAAAGTGCCAAAACCTGTTTGTGCACTTCATGTTTAAGCTATATCACCCAGTTTTCACACATTTACAGCTGCTCGACCAAATAGTCACGATGTGCAAATACACAAAACTTCATGTGTGCAGTGAAGGCAAAAGTGTATGTTTGTGAAACTTTCTTGTAAAAGATGTTTGCAGTATATAGCACAATCAGGCCTTACATTTAAGATGATTACAGGCAGTCCTTTATAGTTTTAATTGGAAATAACATTATTTACAGATGGCATTTATATATAAAATAAAGAAATCATCTCTTTTGCAATTATTATAATATTCAAACTATAATTCTCAAAGATGAAATCAAAGCATTTTGATGCATTATTACCATTTCAGTCTCAGTGTATTGGCTGAATTTACTAAAGAAGTCGAAAACTGCATTATATGAGTTGAATTGGTTCTTTAAAGCTATTTAAACCTATAAAAACGACTAGGCTGGATACAATACAGGATTTAGAGTATGCAAAAATAATGCAGAGACATGAGGAACATTTCTCCACTTGTGTTTGGCAGTGGATCACTTTTTGGCACAACAGTTGCCTTGAAAGTTTTGCTCTTACCTTAAAATACCCCCCTTCATAATGAGTGTTTGGGGGTCCGAAGATGGCCACTTCCCAGTTGTATAAATCAGCCTCGTCCACCAGTGTTATTTTGAATCCCTCGACAGGCTCCTCCTGAAGGCTCTTCATTTCCAACATGAGTGCTTTCTGTGAACTGGCTACATGAGAGGGGTCGTGTTGCGCCATACTGGTCTAGGTAGCTTTCAAGATTATCTGGAGTCGACAGCTGACGGGTTTGTTTACAAGGCAAGGTTAGCCCAACTAGCCAAACAATCCACACCGAAAAACAACTTCTGCGTTTTCTCTGCTCTCAGACAATGAAACAGGCCAAACCTGTCAGGCTGCGCTCGAGCCAAACAAAGGTTGCGTTGAATTGTCCCCGAAACAGATGAATTATTTATCAATGTCAATACTGAGAAACTGTGCAACTGACCAAACCATTGTGGCTGACCAGCGCCGCCAGCTTTAGTTGATCTACCTGGCAGGACAGCCGCGGATATAAGCCGTAAATCTACTGGGAGCTGCTGGCTAATGAAAGCTAGCTAACAAGCTCTACCTTACCGACCAGCTGAAGTCGAACTGACCGCGACGCGAACACTTCCTAACTGCATACGAGAGTCAGACTAGAAAAGAAAATTCAGCTACTCATCTGAAAATCTACCAAATAAAAACTCTAACGATAAAACTCAGAAATGTAGTTAATGCCGCCCTCAGAGAGGACTGGTTAAAGAAGAATGTTGCTGAAAGGAGTCCCCTCTCCTCTAAAAACAGGCAATGGCGCCTTGTGTTGTGTGGGACTTGTAGTCCAATTTTCGTCTGTAAACATTATTTTTCCGTTGAATGCGAATAAAAAGCCACGCAATGACGCATGCAGTTATTTTTATAAATAAAACATATGACATGTGAATTCAAACATGAGACATTGGTTGAGTGGTGACCGTTATTTCTTAAGCTATTTATCTGAGTGCGATCTCACAGAACTACATTTGCCAGCGCCTCACGTCATGAAAACATGAATGTTGTTTGTGTTTCTGAAAGCCGCTCTGACCTATTTTTGATTTCAATTTTTTTCAACACACTGGTCAATCTATATTATCTTAATTTGATTTAGGATGTTCGGTGCCATTAAAACAGTGTAGTTTAACAACCGATATTTATTTGTCGTTTATTTTCTCAAGTCGTAGTCGTGACGTCTACAATATGCGCCATTTTAATAAAAAGCCCCTTTTAGGCGGCTTTCTGCTGCTTGACAAAAATAAATTAAAAAAATTTAAACTAGACAATTTAACGCATTTTTTTAAATGATAGAATTACCTCCTTTGGAAGCCGACCTGAATAAAAATGTGATGATATTAAATGCTTTACAAACACACCGCTAAATTCTACACTGTATGGACACGAAGTAGGCTTCTTTGTTACCTCTTATTTACGCGACAGGCTGCCATTCAGGACCCTGCACTGACAGAAAAGTTCGTGATGGGTTCGAAGTCGCGACGTCGGTCCCGATCCAAGTCCGGGAGTCGCAGCCGGGACCGGCGGAACAAGTCTAGAGGGAACAGGTCTCGATCTCCAGAGGAGAGGAGAGGCCGCAGTCGGTCTGCGGACACGAAAAAGACCGCCCGTGGTCGGGGAAGATCTGGCAGCAGGGCCTCGAGCGATGGCTCTCCTCCACGACGTCGGCCTCAACCGAGGGCTCCATCTGGGTCCAGTAGCGGGTCGGAGAGCGAAAGGAGGCCAGGACCACATCTTCAGAGGAGCCAGTCGAGGGGTCGGTCCTCAAGGTAAGTGTTTTGCTATCTGGTGTTAGCTGGTTAGTACGTAAAGTTTTACCGCGGCTAATTACATAGTGGTAATAGTGATATCTGTTGCTAGATTTCAGCAAAACAAAATTAGTGGGACCTCGTGTTATGCCGTAAATCTGATAGGCATACTACAACCTCATGGCAATTAAAGTAAGCCAGACCCATGATTTCTCTTTCTTTTTCTGAATACAGAGAATCAGCATGTATACAATCACACCTTATCTCAAAACACTGTACATGCACTATAGCTTCATTTAGACACACTAAATTCTGTTTATTTTTACTTCATCGGGGTAATCCACTTCGTGTTGCAGCACTGTATGCTCAAGACTGCCTTGGTTTTTTTTTTTTTATTCTAATCGATCAATAAAACATATGAAACAACAAGATCAAACGGCCTGTTGATCAAGTGCCCAGACTTTAGTTTATATTTGGAAGCTTGTAGAGCTGTTTGCTCCCTTAAAGCTCTGCCATCACTTACTAAATAGTGATGGCATAATAAGTGAGGTTTTTCATAAATGTGCAAAGATTCCTGTGAGATGTGGTGGATTTAAGGGTAGCGTTTTAGTGAGACTCCACAAGGCACTCTTTCTAAGTTCTTCATTATTGACCTCGGACATTCTTCTCTTATTCTTGCTAACTCACATATTCATCTGGTCTCAATTCACCATTTCTGTTTCAGCTCTGATTTAGATGATCCCAAAATGAGAGGGAGGAGACCGGAAATGGAGAATCGGAGAGGAACATCTCGGGAGAGGAGAAGGGGAAGGTCCCAGTCCAGCTCTGGCTCGCGTGATGGAGGCAGTGACAGAGAAAGGAGGAGAAGAAGAAGAAGAAGTCCTGACAGAGGCAGTCCAGTCAGAGACAGACAGAGGAAGGACCGGGACACAGAGAGAGAGCGATGGAAGGGCAACAGCCGAGATCATGAACGAAAAGGAGACAGAGACAAAAGCCGAGAGCAAAGGAAGAGGAGTGAAGAGAGAGAGCGAGGGAGGAGTGACAGAGGCAGAGAGATGACTGACAGAGGCAGAGAGATGACTGACAGGTACAGAGGAAGGCAACGCTCCAGTTCACCCGAGTCGTCTGACAGTTCAGGGTCTGATAATGGGGGCCGCGCAGTCAAAGAGAAGGAGGAGAGGAAAAAACAGAAGGAGATGATGAAAGCTCTGGAGACGCCAGAAGAGAAGAGGGCCAGAAGATTAGCAAAGAAAGAGGCAAAGGAGAAGAAAAGGAGAGAGAAGATGGGTTGGAGTGAGGAGTACATGGGATACACTAATGCAGACAATCCCTTCGGTGACAACAACTTACTGGGCACATTTAAATGGCAGAAGGTGAGTTCCTGGCCAGGAAGTTTGGGCATTTGTTGTAACCTGGTTTAGAAATATTGTTTCTCATGCACGACTCTTTATTTTCTGCATGTTCTCAGGCGTTGGACAAGAAAGGCATTGGCCATCTCGGAGAAAAAGAGCTCAAAGAACGGAACAAATGCATTCAGGAGGAGAACCGCAGAGAGCTGCAGAAGGTTTGAACTGAGGGACAGTACTGGGGAAAAGTTTCAACATAAGGGCTAAAACAGTACCTGACTTTTGGTAGCAACTCTAGGAATGTATTTTTTTTAAGACTGGGAGACACTGGAAGTGAAATAATTAATCATAGTAGCTTTGTTTTTAGGTGAAACAGCTGCGTCTGGAGCGGGAGCGAGAGAAAGCCATGAGAGAGACGGAGCTAGAAATGCTGCAGAGAGAAAAAGAAGCAGAACATTTCAAGACTTGGGCTGAACAGGAAGACAACTTCCATCTGCACCAGGCTAAACTAAGGTTAGTGTTCATCAATATTCATGTTCTTATTAAACACTTCTTCTTTTAATTCCTCGGAGGCTTATTTCTTTATTATGGTATGATTTGTTCAGTTTGCTTACACAATTCCACTTCTAGACTCCTATAACAATTCCTTAATACAAATATACACTGTGTCGCACCCTTGTTCATTGTCTTTCTAGGTCGAAGATCAGAATTCGCGATGGCCGTGCAAAGCCTATTGACCTTTTGGCGAAATACATTAGTGCAGAAGACGATGATCTTGCTGTAGAGATGCATGAACCTTACACATTCCTCAATGGGCTAACAGTCACTGACATGGATGACCTGCTGGAGGACATTAAGGTTTGTTGCTCTTACATTAAAGTGTAAAAGATGTACGACTAGAGCTCAGAATGGTTTTATGGACAGGGTTGCTTTAACAGGGGACTTACTGTAAACTGTAAACTGGACTAGTCTGACAATTGCAATACATTTACAGAGAAAAACAGAGAAAAGTATCTGTTGAGGACACTCTGGTCTTTTGGAGTGCAGGGAGCACTCCTGAGGTCCTTTTTTTTTTGACTGTCGTGGCATCAGCTGTTTTCTATGGACTTGTGCGGTAGAGCAGCAGCATCTGTGCAGCAGACAGGAAGAGACTTGAGGACACTCTGACAGCACTGTGCAACTGTTTCAGTGACACATTGCTTCACCTGTGGTGTGTGATGTAGATATACCACAGGTCCTTCCATACAACCACTGCTGCTGTCAGCAGACCACAAATAGAAAAGCTGACATATTTCACTCTAGTGCAACGTCAATGCATTCACACCTGTGCTTTATAAATACATACAGTAAAATGTCTCTGTGCAGTATACATTTTTTCCTACATATAGAGCAATCCTGTGCAATATTTTTACTTTTCACGATCAGTGGAATCTGTACAATATCTTAATTTCTACACAAGGAAGAATCTGTACAGTATCACTGCTACTTATGCGTATTATCTTGTTTACTTCTATTTTTGCAGGTTGACCCTAAAAAAAAAAAAAAAAAAAGGGTCTTAACAGTTGCTTTACATCTACTGCTCTTAAAATGAACTCTGTCTGAATGTTGTTCTGGTAGGTGTACATGGAATTAGAGCAGGGCAAAAACGTGGACTTCTGGAGAGACATGACGACCATCACAGAGGACGAGATCAGCAAACTGAGAAAACTGGAGGCCTCTGGGAAAGGACCAGGTACAATCATTTTTTTCACTAAATTATCATACAATAGTTCTGTACCAAAGTTTCTTTGTTTTCTGCTGTGCTGTTAAGTCTTATTTTGTTAAAGTGTGAGTGCTGAAAGTATTTACAGGTAAAGTCAGCAATTCTAATCCATCCATCCATCCATTATCTATACACTACTTAATCCTCACTAGGGTCGCGGGGGGCTGGAGTCTATCCCAGCTGACTCAGGGTGAAGGCAGGGGACACCTTGGACAGGTCACCAGTCTATCACAGGGCTACACTTAGAGACAGACAACCAAGCACACTCACATTCACACCTACGGACAATTTAGAATCACCAATTAACCTCAACGTGTTTTTGGACTGTGGGAGGAAGCCGGAGAACCCGGAGAGAACCCACGCTGCACGGGAAGAACATGCAAACTCCACGCAGGTGTCCTCACTGAGACGCAAACCGGCGACCTTCTTGCTGTGAGGCGATGGTGCTAACCACCGACCCACCTTGCAGCCCAATTCTAATCCAGTACAGTTTGAGTTAAATTTAATTATCATCTCGTCACGGTCTGCTGCTTTCTGTGTGCGTGCTGGAAAACAACACACATGTAGCAACAATCTGTAACCAGAATCACATACTAAACATTTTAATGCAATCTTTTCAATCTTCAGGTGATCGTCGTGAGGGCATCAACACAGCTGTGAGCACTGACGTTCAGACCGTGTTCAAAGGGAAGACATACAGCCAGCTGCAGGCGCTGCATCTTAACATTGAGTCGAAGATTCGGGCTGGAGGATCCAATCTTGATATCGGTTACTGGGAGAGTCTGCTGCAGCAAGTCAGAGTGTACATGGCCAGAGCCAGGTATGAATGAGCCAACGGCCACTGTTATCTGCTGCTCTAATGATTAAAATACCCAAACAAGCACATTGAAGTAATACAGCTTACATGGGAGTTTTTTCTTTCTTTTTTTTTTTTTTTAAATGTGGGCAGGCAATGAACAATATGTAAAACTGCAATGTTTGTGTCCCAGGTTGCGAGAGCGGCACCAGGATGTGCTGCGTCAGAAACTGTTCAAGCTGAAACAGGAACAGGGAGTAGAAAGTGAACCTTTGTTCCCCATCATCAAAGAGGAGCCGAGGTCCGAGGAAGATGAGTAAGTTACCTCGACACCACATTCGACACACAACCTCTTTGAAACCGTGTCAGAAGTACATGACCTGGGGTTCCAGTTCCTCCTCTCGTTACTTTTATTTCTCACTTCTGTGTTTCTTTTGAAAATTTGTATAGCCTCAAAAATATAAAAAATACTCACCTGTTCAATTCAAGAAGATGTAAATCCTTGTTTCTTCTATAATAGGGAGAGAACAGGAGGGCCATCAAGGGAGCAAACAGCAGAAGAACCCAGCGCTTCTTCATCCTCCTCCGCTAGAAATAGGAGCAGAGAAACAGATGAGGACGACGAGGAGAGGCCGAGTACATCTGTGGCGGGAAGCCAAGATGAAGATGGACGAGAAAAGGGTGACGGAAAAGATGACGAGGAGAAAGGCGAGGTGGTGGAGGCCGTGCTTACGGAGGAGGACCTCATCCAGCAGAGCCAGGCGGAGTACGACTCGGGTCGCTACAGTCCAGCGCTGCTCATGTCCTCTGAGCTGCCGCTGGACACGCACACCATCACTCCGGAAGAAGATACACACAGGCTGCAGTTAGCGCGCAGACAGCTGCAAGTCACCGGTATGAGACACTTTGAATCACAGTTATGAAGTGTTTGTAAAATGAAGCTCCCGAGTAGGAGAAATGTTGATTAAACCAATATTAACTACACAAAATACACAAAAATGAATGTGATGGAGATGCATTGCCTCACTATTTCTTAAATATCTGTTAGGTGACGCTAAGGAAAGCGCGGAGGACGCCTTCGTTCGACGAGCCAAAGAAGGGATGGGCAACGACGAGGCCCAGTTCAGCGTGGAGTTTCCAGTCACGGGGAAAATGTACCTATGGGCAGACAAATACCGCCCCAGGAAACCCCGCTTCTTCAACAGGGTCCACACCGGCTTCGAGTGGAACAAGTACAACCAGACGCATTACGACTTCGACAACCCTCCGCCCAAGATCGTCCAGGGTTACAAGTTCAACATCTTTTACCCGGATCTGATCGACAAGCGTTCCACCCCTCAGTACTTCCTCGAGCCCAGTCCCGACAACAAGGACTTTGGGATTTTAAGGTTCCACGCGGGCCCACCATACGAAGACATCGCTTTTAAGATCGTAAACAGGGAGTGGGAGTACTCGCACCGACACGGCTTCCGTTGCCAGTTCGCCAATGGGATCTTCCAGTTGTGGTTCCACTTTAAGAGGTACCGCTACAGAAGATAAAGGACTTATGAATGTGGACCAGTGAGGGGGGTTTATACGGGGAAGGTGTATTGTTTAGGCTGCACAGTCAGTGTGCTTTGTTGTATTGATTTAACTGCTCTCACAGAAAAGCAGTGTTAAAGATACAAATACCTCTGTGCTATTGTCTGGAAAACTCAACTGTAATGTAGTCTGAAAATTACATATTAAAGTTTTTCACTTTTTTTTCTTTACTCTTGAGTTATTTCATAGTTACAGGATCTTCATAACTTTATAAAAACTCCGTCTCATAACACTAGACTGGCACAAACAAGTGTTTCATAACTGCAGGTTACTTCAACATCTGTTCTTCACATTCTTGGCAAATCCAGTCTTGCTGAAAGCTACAAAAAAAAAAAGGTTTATATGTGGACACACTGCAACAACACAAGGAGGAGATTTCAAAATTTTTAATACAATAGAACAAAATCTCTGAAGCTAGTGGTTAGAAATGAAGTGGCTCAATTTCATTTATTGTACATTCCCTGTGAAAATCATACCAATCTTTATAAGATAACTCAATCTATAACGGGATTTGAAACAGTTAGTACAAAGTTAGAAAAGATATTTGCATATAAAAACAAAAAAGCAAGAAAAAAAAAAGTATCTCATACTTGGACTCAAGATTTATAAAATCTTTTCATGTGTTCATTCTCAACAATTAATAGTCTCTTTAAACAAAGGTTTCAACCACTTGCACTTTTTATTTTGTTCAGTTAGCTGCAAATGCCTCTTAACTTGAGATTTAAATGTTCAAATATTACAGCTGAACTGATATATCCAGTGTGTCTGGTAAAATAAACATCCATTTGTCAAACTTGAACACTTGACACTTGGAAGAAAGCTGAATATGTGCTTGAGATTTTTAAATTTCTGATTCGTCATCAATGAACTGCAGGCTGACTTCTGGGGCATCATTCTCCCCTGCAGCATTGAATGCAGCTTCCCCACCAGTGTGGTTGTTGTTCCTGCCGTTGTTGTCTGTTCCAGACACCAGCGGCTTGTTCTCTGCCAGTGCAGGCCTCACAGCATCTTGGTGAGTCACAGTGGAGCTTTGAGCCTCCTTGTCGTGGGTCCCCTGGGGTTGTGCTCTATTCTTTCCACAGTTCCAGGGCAGAGGTAGGTGACCTTTGTAAAAGTTCCAGGCCAAAAGGGCAACAAGTCCAACTACAAGGAGTGCAACTACAGCCTGCAGTCCAGCCACAGAAGGACCATCAGTCTGAGCTTGGGGAAACAACGGCTGACCGCCCCTACCATAACCTTTAGGATCTACTGTGACATGGTACTCAGCCACAGTGCTGGTGTACTCGTCGGTTTTGGAGCGCTCCACAGACACGCAGCGGTACTGACCAGCATCGTTGGCTGAAGCGTTCAGGATAAGCAGTCCGTCTCGTAGAAGCTGAAACCGAGTTGAGGGCGTCAGGAGGCGGTTGTCCCGCTCCCAGCTGGTTTCTGCCAGGTTGGAAGGCGAAGGGCAGCTGAGCTTCAGGTTACCTCCCGGCCAGATGAACTGATTCATTGGCTTGACAGGGTCTGAAATCAAAAAACAGAGGTCTACATAAGCATTTTCACTTGGACAGCCCATACAGGACCACATGCAGAATCTTGCAAGTTTAGTTTCTATCACAAAAATAAAAATGCACTGATCATACTCGCAAGTACAAGTGTGCATTAACTCACCAGCATCTGGGCAAAGGGAGGCATCTCCTGCTTTCACACTCTGGATTAATTCTCTAAAGCAGAAGATGCAGTAATTGAAATTTAGTTTGAATAGACCAGATATTAATACTGCTTGCTATACATGTTTTGACAGTTGTCTACTGGGGCTGCAGTTAATGACTATTTTCAGTTGATTGGTTGCTTGTTCATTGTTTGATCAGAAAATGTTGATCAGTGTTTCCCAAAATCCAGTCTGATGTCCTCAAATGTCTGGTTTTGTCCACAAGCTAAACATACTCTGTTTACTGTCAGAGAAGTTCAGAGACCAGGAAATGTTCACATTTAGACTTGTCTTTAAAACATACTCAAACACATTATTTATAATTTTTAAAAAAATAGTTGGAAAATCATTTTAACTTGACTTGACAAGTAACAGCTAGTCGTTGCTGCTCACCTTTGTGAATCAGAAACGGAAACACATTTCCCATCAGTCTTGTCCCAGCCACAGTACGGGTCTCTAGCCAGTACACAGTCCATACAGGATAAGGACCTCTCACAGGTGGCCAATGGTACCTGTGCTGCCCCATAGTCTGAGCCTGCATAGAGCTGACCCTGTTGGAACCATTGCACGCGAGGAATAAGCAAAGAAATGAATGTAAGTACTTCACTATAATTCACAACGAGTATACACTTGTACAGTAAGGAGGCATTAAATTGGTTACAGTGATTTCAAATTACCGTGACATTAGAAAACTGGAGAATCTTGATTGACTCTGGGGGCTGGAAGAGTTGCACTTCCTCTATGATGAACATTTCTCCATCGTAGTTCACAGCTTTGAGCACCGTGCCTTCCTCTTTTCATAGAAAAAAAAAAAAAGCAACATGGTGTATTTACACAACGACAGTCTAATGTCTGCCGCAATGTTGTCAAGTCATCAAAATCAGCTAAATGAAATATATACAGGCAAGGGCATTGTGTGGTAATGATGCAAAAAAAAAAAAAAAAAATCACACCTACCCGTGCCTATAAACATCACATGATACTTCTCGCCATCTGCGGCTTGCACTTGGTTGACTATGATGCGTGTGAATGTAGCTCCCCTTCGCACCAGTAGCGGCTTTCTTCCTATTGGCTGGATGGCCTGGTCCATGAGGGGCCTATCTTTGATAAATTGAAGGGTCCGGTCTGGGAGGTCCAGGGTCTGATTTATGCCCGCTTTACGAGCCTCATTGTTTATGCACTGGCAAGAGAAGAAGGGAAGGAAAGAGAAAAGAGAGAACAACAGAATCCAGAGAACAAAAGAAATCAGCTTCCTGCTGGGTCACGTAAAAAAAAAAAGAGTGTTGCCTTTTGAGGTTTTGTTTTGTTCCAAACACAAATTGAATATTGGGCAGACTCACAGCTCCGGGTCGAGGGACGGGGACATCTCCGCTGTACATCACCCACTTAACAAAAGAGGTTTCTACGGGGACTGGGCTCTTGTATTTTCCCTCCTCAAACACTCTGCTGATGTCTGACACGCGGTACGCACACACTGCAGACAGGTCTGATGTGTCACTGAAACACACACAAGAACACTGAGCCCACTGGTGTGCCAAAACCATGGAACGTATAGAAACCCTCCTCCTTCCAACGCAAACATGTTTATGAGTTCAACTCACGACTGTGGGGTAAAGATGGCGAAAAAATAACAGTGTTTCCAGTGCTGCTGTGGATCACACCAGCGGTACGTGTCCTGGATGATGTACGGCAGCTGGGACTCCAGCACTGGACAGTCCATTCTAGTCTTCAGGAAGGATGTCCACTTCTTTTGCAAAGTTCTCTGACCTCCAAGATCTCCCTGGGAGCGCAGAGGGATGCCGTAATGCCACAAAGACAAAAGGAAAAACATAAAAACAAACGGGATGCATAATCAAGCGACGGAAAGGGCGCAACTGAGGAAGTGCTGTTTATATGTTATTGTCATTGCAAGTGCATGCACTGTAAACTCTTTATCACCTTGCAGACACGGGCCACACGGGAAACAACCAGCTTGTTATAGCAGTCACACTCTACAGCTGTCTCGCTGAAGAATAGGTACACCTTGTCGTCATCTCCCTCCTCGCTCTTGTCACTCTCTGGCATCTGAGCCATGGAAACAAAGTTGGGCTCTGTTGTAGAAAGAGGAAAAAACAACATCTTTGACTCACTTAAGATGAGAGACAAACAAGTAATTTCATTAATGCAGCAACTTGTTAAAAAAACAAAAACAAACACTGAATACTATCAAATCTTACCATTAAGCCAGGAGCTTTTGAACTCCGTGCGTATGGAGACGGGAGAGCTGCGCATCAGGATGGGTTCAGAGCCGAGAAAGTTCATAGAAGTGGCTGAGTATAAGTCATTATCTGGCAGGAGAAGAGGTTTACATGAACACGTTTTTTTCTGTTTTGAACTTCTGACTCAATATCTGTCCTGATGAACAATTGCTACTCACCAACCATGATGGAGGCATATCTCTGGAAAGGATCAAATGGACACTTCCCTTTGCCATCCTCTGCCTTCTTCTCAAGAGTCAGCTCCCCATCTGTATAGGACTGCACCAACAAACACATCAGTTAATCCTACAATTGTCCTTGATTTATCATACTGATGAAAACACATTACAGCAATCTATTCAGTCAGTTTCATTAGTATGGTAAATGGAGTTTATCTCACCATGTAGTCGCACTCTGGATCAAAAGCATTGGTTCCACACACATACATCCTGTTGTCCTCCGTCTTATGCAGGATCCTGATGTAGTTGAGGCACTCTGTCTGTAAATGCATTTAAAAAGCAATGACTGCATCTGCTCAACATGCAATGAATCTCAGATGGCAAAAAGTGCAATTCATAACAAAACTACCAACCTCGGGATCTTTTCCTTTGTTTCTACACTCATCTTTTTGTTCCTGCGTTACTTCCCATTTAACCTAAAAGAACAAAACAACGATGTCGGTCACATTGTTTCTGTTTATCAGGAATAAGTGGTTTTCTACTGAAGAAATAAATAACTGTCGCACTCTTTTGGCTTTTTGCATGCTGTTTTTGAAAACTAATGGTGTAGAGAGAATGAGAGAGGAAACTGCTATCGGCACTTCTTACCATTTATGCTCTTTATCAAGCAAACAAAGTAGTTATTAAGATGATAAAAGTGTAGATGAGACGGTTAAATGGCCTTGCAAATGTATTGAAGTGGAAATCTAACAGCTAAAATAAGCTGGCTGGTTTTGTTTTGATTCGTGAAGTAGTCACCTATCTTTACACATAGTGCCTTCTTACAAAGCTGTTTGCCTGCCAGCTTTGTTGGTGATACTATTACGGTATTAGCTTTACTAACAAAAGCTTGAAAGGTCAGATAATGTGTTTTCACATATTTAATATGAAACTTCTGTCATATATTTAACAGCTTTTAAGTAATTAGCAAGAGGTCATGTGTAAATATGGGATCTAAAAGAACAAGGATACATTTATTACTGCTAAAATACATAAAATTATGACCAAACACAGGCATATCTATATATTTATTATTGCTCTGGACGCACATGCCTGGAGGTTCTGCGGTAGAAGACTTCGTGTTTCTAGCTGGACTTCAGCTGTTTCTGTGGTTGTGCATCGATGGTCCCTTCACAGTAAAATTATGGGAAGAGTTCACTGTACACATGAGCTGCTAAAGACATTTTTCTGGAAGAGTTTAGACTATTGTTGCTAACTTAATTTATATATTTAAGGGTGTCTTTATTGCTGTCATGTGAGATTTCAGGCAGCGCTTTTTCCACAACTCTGAGCATCCCTACATGATTGCAGTACGTACTGCAGCTGCCTATCCAAAGTACATACTGTTTCATGCATTATGCGTAGATTCAGGACATACTACTAAGTCATAACATTGCGCCTTAACCTTTAGCCATGTTGCTCATATATCTATTGCAGTCAGTAGTGCAAAATAAGCTGTCATCTGTCAGTGTGTGCACACTGTGGCTCAAGCATTTTTTAATAAGTGTGGTACACATGTATAGCATAGGTGGCGTATCTGCCGCTGCACAGCAGACTGTGGGTCAAGATGTCCACAACAGCAAGCTGGCTTGTATACGCCAAAACGTGAGGCGATGCAGTGGCACATGCTGGCATTTCTAGCATACTGTCGTTTGTATTGGGACATACAAAATCTTTTCCTGTCTTACTAAATAGTATGACAGTACGGATATTGGTACACACCCTTTCTCTGGATCTCAGTAATCTTTTCCTGTCTTACTAAATAGTATAACAGTATGGATATTGGTACACACCCTTTGTCTGGATCTCAGCAATCTTTTCCTGTCTTACTAAATAGTATAACAGTATGGATATTGGTACACACCCTTTGTCTGGATCTCAGTAAACCCTCAATGCAAATGTAGCCTGAGAGGCAAGATTCAGAGCACACAGTCTATCATTAAGCACCATTTTGATAATAAAAAACTATGCAGCTGTAGGCCAAAGGAGTTTTGATAAGAACTTTCAAATTAAGTCCAATGCCAACAATTAATGAGAGTTGCTCCAGGATAAAATTCTCCTTAACTGAGTTGCTAACAAGGGCGTTCTTACTGAAGCATGTTTCTTGGAGATGTCATTGAGGTCGAGAGCATACACTGCCTCCCTGGCACCCAGCACAAGCAAGTCCAGGTCTTCTCTCAACAGCATGGTGGAGTAGTTGAACACGCCCTCTTCACGAAACAGATGAGCGTTGTCCCCTAGAGACAGTATATGAGTGATTAACTCAGCAACCGCCAGCAATGAAAACCTGTTTCCCCCAATGAGTCATGCCAAACATAAACGATATGAGCCAACACGAGTTGGCACATTGTAAGTCAGAGTTACACAAGACATAGAGCAACACTCACTGTGATAGGGCACAGATCTGCGGGGGACACAGTCTAGTGGTGAGTCCTCTTCCAGCATCAAGGCCAGGGGCAGCAGCCAAAAGACACCGAGGGACAGCAGCGGATGCATGGCTCCTTTGTTCAAGCTAAGAGGAATTTAGGCTTTATTGTTTCCCTAACAGTCATTCATACAGGGGTAAAGACAGCGAGTGGCATCTATGACGTGATGAGGTCTGTGCTGTCTGAAGGGCACTGGCCCCTTTACTGGCCCCGCTCAGCAGGCTGTCCATGGCGAGATGGATGGCACAGACCGGAGAAACAAAGCCAAGGAGGGCTGAAAGAGACAAGGTTGCATGGATATCACAATCAATTCACCGCACGTGAGACCTGGTAGAAAAGAAGGTTGAAAATATGTACAGCAAAAACACTACACAGAATGCAATGGAAGGAGAAACGCTTAAAAAGTGTTAAAACAAAGAGACAGAAACAAAGCAAAACCCCCCCCAAAAAAACAGCAATCGCTGGAAAGAGCAGAGTGAGCTAAAGTCAGCGCGGCAGTAATTCTGTCAGTGCCATAGTGATGTTAATGCAGGGCCATGAAAGGCATTCAGCAGGGTGCAGGGATGTCAACCTCAGCTCTCCTGCAGACCCAAACACCCACACAATGAGAGATTCACAGAAAGTGCCAAAGTCTGGCGTAGATTAGAGAAGAGCTCTCTTTGCGCAAAAGTTTGCTTGCAAGAACTGTCTCACACAAAGAGGGCAGGAAGCATGTGATCATAACCACAACCCAGATAAGTCTACCTACAAACTGGCAAATACCCCTGACACTGCTACCCCTTTCATTACCTCTCTAACAGCAGCAGAAGTTGTTGTTTTCAGTGATTTGGTCCAGTGTTGTTACTACAACCTGCTGGCTGGCTGGCTGGCTGGGTGGGTGTGTGCTGCAGGTTTCCCAACTGATATTGTGTTAACTGATGAGCCACAGCATGTTAGAGAATGCAGTCCTGATAGGATGTTTCACATATTTGTCCCTGAGGCAAAAAGCAGGTTCAACCCAACACCCATGTACATTCATACATAGATGCAGTGCAGCCTAGCTTACTTATTTATGCACTAAATGCTAAAAACAAAGCAAGTGTGTGGCAATTAGGCAGAAATAAACTGATAAAGAACAACATTTAACAGTCTAAACGTGAAGTACGTGGTTGTTTTTGTTAATTTAGAGTGGAAATTTGTGGTTTGCGGCTACTTCAATGAAGCTAACATTTAGTTGAAGCTGTTAGCAAAGTGCACTGTTAGCAAAACACTCCTATCAGAAGTTAATCACTTACCTGCGCACCGACACGCCCAAAAACTGCGCAGGTTTCCATTAAAAAAACACCTGTTAAACACTATTTATATAGATAAAAAAAACACCACTATTTCTCCATTAACGAACAGGTTGTTGGTAAAAGAGCTTCTTAGTTTTTGATAAATGGTGAAAGAAGAAAAGTCAAGAGAAACGCGGCTAACGTACCCTGAGATGTGAGACACGTTGGTTTGCTTCTTCCTCTTGGTCTGCAGGTTCACTTTTCAAAGCAACGAGCGCAAAAAGAAAGAAAGAAAAAAAAAGAGAGAGAGAGAGAAAAAAACCAGCGCTTCTCTAACGGCTCCGGCTCCGGCTGAAGGAAACAGAACAGGTCCTCCGGTGCTACAGGGAGCCTCTCAGGCGCTCACATCCCACCGTGAAAAGGCTCTGAATGGCCGGTTGCTGCTGCTGCTGCTGCTCCGCTTGGCCGCGCACAGCTTTTTCTTTCTCTCTCTTTTTTTTTTTCTTTATTGCTGCTCCCTTCAAACCTCCGCAGAGGCTGTTAAAAGCTCTGACCTCTGATCTGATTAAGTTTTCATTGTTCGCTCACACACTCTTATCTGTCGGTAGAGGGCACAGCTGCTTCAAGATGGGCGAGGAAAAGAAAAAAAAAAAAACAGACAAAAGCACCTGGAAGAGAAAAAAAGATCTGGCCAACATGTCCAAACAGGAGTGAACGTTACCCAGTGGTGTGTTGTGGGAGGTTTCTGATCTGCGTGGACAAGAAGGATTGATGTTGCACCTGCACTGAAATATGTGCATAAAGCTGATGTGAGAGATTTAATGCATGTAACAAAGCCTGTGACAGGGGCGGGTCTTCTGTCTGCAGCAATGGCTCTCTTTAGTTTAACTCCCCAAATCTCACAATCTATTGTTGATTAGGCCCATGTTGTGTTTTGAACTGACCATTTTCCTTTGCATGAATAAAGACATTAAGCATTCATTGCTGCAGCAAAAGCACAAACAGGTGCAGAACATTTTGCATCAAATTAAGTGCAGGGTCATGATTTTTAGTGTTAGATTGATGTAACCTCCTGGAAAATATCAGTTTTTCACAAATCAAGGTGTAGCTTATTCACAAAAAAAGAAGCGGCTTGAAGAAGAAATTGCAAATTAGAGAAATAAATGCAAAGATAAAGACAGGTGAATTAATTACAGGGAGAAAAAAACTTGACTTGTTATCATGTGAGGGGACATTTTGCAGATGATTGAGGTCTTATAGGCAAAGGTTGCTGCTAATCAATACAAAGTAGCCCTGGGTACAGAATGATGAGACATTTCTACCCTCATTCAGTCTCGAGGGTCTCCGGGAGGAAATTTGGGGCATCAAACACTCAATGTCCTGCCTCCTGGTGCAGTTTTTTGCACCTATTTGTGCATGTTCCCCCCCATCAGTTTATGGAAATGTCTTTATGCATGTAGAGGAAAACACTAAATTCAGGCACAATGTGCAAATGTTGGGGTAAGCAGTGCATATGTTCCAAATACTGAGGCACATTAGTCGTTCCCTACATCTGCCATGGAATCTACGGCAATGCTTCTATTCATACTGGGATCATTCCATCTCAGATCATCAGGGGCCTTTAAAAAAAATAAAATAAAAAAAATAATGATAATAATAATAGTAATAATAATAATTGCTATCAACCCACTTCCAGCATGTTTTTCTAAATGATAGATGAAATGAAGATACAACTCTGAAATTTCCAATTAGTTCTCATCATAGAACTGCTTCAGAATCTACAACCTGTAGATTAAATAATCTCTGAATTTGGGTAACTTGAAATATGAAAGAAAAAGAAGTTGTGATGAAAGGTTCCATCTTTGAGCTCATGTTAAAAAGAAGTCAACTCGTGACATTTTCTAAACCATATTTGTTGCATGTCTCAATAACACAAAACATAAAACAAAAAATGTTTAATACTTGGTTCCAAAAATGGAAAAAAAAGTCTTATTGATTGAGCAGGTATGACAAGCTGTACCAAAAAAAAAAAAAAAAAACCCACACACTATAGCTTAATCCAAGAGTTGTAGATTTTTGGCATTTTCTAGTTTGAAGAAAAAATCTCAGAAAGTAATGTTTTTATGTAAAATTTCACAGATGCCATTTTAAATATCCATAGTTTATGACAAAAGCAAATCAGAGTCAGTCAATCTGAAGGCCACTGATGATTTGAGCTGAATGACCCTCTATGATCACTGTGTGAGGTCATGGAAGGATCATTACACCTAAAGAATATAAAAAACTACAAACAGACTCACTTCCTTGTTAAACAATGAAAATGGATTTTTTTTTTTTTTTTGCAACATATTCTCCCTTTTCTTCTGTTTTTCTATGGTTAATGTGTTTTTTTAAAAATCTCGATCATGAATCATCATAAAAACAAGACTGATTGTCCAACATTCTCTGTAATCATCACCTGAAGGTATCGATTTACTCCAATGTTGTTTCATTTCCTCATTCTTCTGGAGATCACACGGAGCTATCCATTTACGACAAGGAACAAAGGATCCATGCAAAAACAATTTAATGCCCTTAATATCTAACAAACAAACACCGTCCTTCGATAGTGATCCAGTAGACACAACACATCATGTACAAACATACAAGAAACTGTTCATTGTAAGAAGACACTTAAAAGTCAGTTGATCACAGTTTGACAATAATCTGTAAGTACTGGCCGATTCACAGAAATGTTAAAAATTAATCTCACATGTAGAAATACTTATTTTTGTTTAAGCACCTTCAGATCTGTAGTCAGTTGATTAAGGTAGAAATACAGGGTGCAAAAGTAAGACTGCAATAAAGCCAAAAGTCAGGTTCACTCTGTAACACAAAAGGCTCCTTCTATGCAAATGTTGTGCTTGATGAGGTTTCTGCTCCTTTAGCTGTTCCACTAGAGGGCGCCCTCGCATAGACTGATGTTCTTGAGGAGGAACAGAAATCACCTGGAGTTTCCAGGCAGGTCTGAGTGCTGATGAGTCATAGCACCATTACCATAGCACACACACTCAAGTAGCATAGAATCAGGAAACACTTAAAAAAAAATGCACCAACAGTACAGTCAGAGTCGAGGGGTAAAAGAGCCACAATGTCATTGAATCAACAATACAATAACGTTTGCTTTTCAATCACAAATTGCACTCGGAGCAGCAGGCAGACATTGTGCAGTTTGTCGGTTTCCGGCCAGCTCGATTGTATTCTTCTTCTTCTTTTTTTTTTTCTTATTCCAGTCATGCTACATGAAATGAGGTGAACGAGGCGAATTTCTGAGCTGAAGCCTGAGCACGCCTGGATTATTTGACTTTCAGGGCCGATAAAGTGACTCAGGTCGGAGCGTGTGGTTCTGGCGTTGATCCTGGCAGTCTGTGGTTTGTTTGTTCTCCAGTGTTGTAGCAGTAACATCAGCAGCTCAGCACCCAGACATGGGCTCAGACAGAAAAACATGAGGCTCAGCTGGTGGTCCGGTATGTGTCAGTAGGTTTTGAGCAGTCACAGCGTATTGATTCATAGTTTTCGTAGACTGTGTTTTGTTGAGTCTGTTTTTTGCTTGGAGGCGGTTTGTAAACAGCTTTATGCAAGTGGACAAAGCACAAGTGGGTCATTTCCCAACCAAGGCAGGCAGCATTTTATGAGATTGCATGAATCTAATCCAGTGTGAACCCACCAGTGTTACTCTTAAGGAACTAACCAGAGTCAGTTTGCTCACGTAATATCCAACAATTACATAGTGAGAAAAAGAACAAACACTTTGCAGTTCCTTAAGAGAAAGTGGCGGTTTTGCAGTCCTTTGTCTTCCACTTAGAAGGCACAGGATGAGTACATAGCTGCAGTGAGAAGAGGTTTGGCACTGAAGATTGAGAATGCTGTGACAGGAAGTCCTTCCTCGTGAGTGAGTCACTCCTGACTGGCTCGTCTCTTCTCGAGCTTCATTTTGAGTTCCTCATTGAGTGCTGCAGGGAGACAGTAGAAACACTTTGAGATTAAACTTCATCTGCTGCAGACGGATAACACGCAGCCAAAATTTCTCATGCACTCACTCTGCGCGAGAGGGGACGGGGAGAGGATGAGTCGTCTCATCGGGTTGGTGGGCGACGCCGGCACTGGCGAGGTCAGGATGCGACGGTCCGGGGCGGGGGACCTGGACAGGGGGCTGGTGGACCAACGATCTGCGCCAGAATGAAAGCAGCCATCATTGTTGCAGTCTGTGTGAAGCTGCGTTTGTTTTATGTGACTGAGACTAACCTTGTTTTGGAGGCAGAGCAGGGGCCCTGGGCAGGGGGCTGGAGGGGGCAGTGTGGAGGATCCTCTCTCCATTTTCATCATTGGCAGACACATATGCTGATGGCACAAATAAATACAACATGCTCAGCCTCATTGTTTACTTGTAACACACAGGAAAACAAACAAAAAAAAACGTGTCGCCTCACTGATATTCTCCTCGTAAGGCTCCTCCAGTAGGAAAGGCTGTAAAGTGCCTGCTGTCTTCTCTACCAGAGCATCAATGACCTCATGCAGCGTCGCACAGGGAATCTGTGAGACAAAACCTCCGCGTCATACACCTCCTTCTGCTGCTTTGTCGCATCTCGCTACTCAAACTTGTCATTTTCATGTCGTACATTTGTTTTTCAGATGATGCTTATGAGATCTACTGTGCACCGAGTTGTTGCCTCATCCCCCAAGATCCCGAAAGCTACAAAACTCAGAAACCTTTACGAGATACATAAACATAGAGCTGCGTTCTGTTTTGACAAGTTGTCACTTCAGAAATGGTGTTATTATCTGACAGAAAACAACACAGACAGCTCTTCAGAGATTTGCAAACGCATACATTTGACTTCTCCTATAGCATACATGTTACGTGTTTTCTATCTCTTGAATTGTTAACCTCATAACTGGGATGTATTCATCCAACATACGGGTTCAGTTCTGGTGCAAACATTATTAAAGACCCGCCTCTGGTTAAAAGTTTTTTACCTTGTTCACATGTTCATATGTTGTTGTTTTTTTATATGCTAAAATACATAACATGAGCGAAATAAGCTCCATGGTTGAACATTTGTAATATGAAGCTGCATTGTACCGATGAGGAAACACGGATTCAGATTTCTGTGGTTTCGTCTGTCATAACCATACGGAACCAATTCTGTCAGTTTGCATGCTGGGACTTTCCACATCATTATTCTTTAGTATCGGGTTGCCTTTTGAACACGTATGGCTGGATTACTCCAATAACTTGACATTGTGTGGCGTAGAGTAGTTTCACAGTGCTTGAGGAGATTTGTAGGTGAGCTGGTGTGCTTGAGTGGCAGCGAGCAATGAAGGGCTTAATAGAGAGAGAGAGAGAGGACTTAACAGGTCTATGCGGAAGTCCCTGTGTAGTGTTACATCTAAGCCACTGAAAGGCAGAAGTGGGTTATTATGATGGAAGAAACACTTGTCAATATGTAATTTTGTTCAAACAGCTTTTTGGGGGTTAATCAATGACTGAAGAGGGACTTTAAGGGAATTGACCCCGATGAGACTGATCCACATTAAGAGTTTCTAATGTAAACTATACATTTAGTCACAATCGGCTCACGTTTTTAGTGCTGCAGTCTTCTCAAGCACACTGTTACCTACATGAAGCTAATTGTGATCACTAGAGTTCACAGATTGAGACGTAGGACAATAGAGAGTATCAGTATCACGTGAGGAAAAGTAGGATCCCTATGATAAGGTTTCTCCTATAAAAACTGTCTTAATATTATGTTAACACTGCAAGGACATAAATCAGTTATAATATGACATATTGTCTAAATTCATCCTATGAATCGTTATAACATTGTAAGTACAATTAATATTAGGCACTTACAGGATTTTCCACATCGATGACGTAACCACCTTGGTCCCTCTGAGTCACTCTGTAATGTCTGAACACTGACCTGGAGAAAACAGACAGAATATAACATTTTAGCAGGATGCAGAGTCTATGACTTTTTTGCAATTCTGGGTTCCAGATGTTCAGCAGGTGTTTACCCGTTGAGGTCCTGTCTAGTAGTGACAGCCAGCGAGCATCCGTCTCGGCCCGGACGGAGCAACATGTTGCCACAGTCTGGGTGTCTCTCTAAGAGGACTTCGGCCTCTGTTCGGGACACTGGACGAAAACACCTGCAGGTCACACACTCCATATTACACTAAAGCACTAAAGGGCCACATTGGATCTTCTCAGTGCAGCACAGAGGAGAACTCACGGTGGGATCTCTCCTACTAAAGGAACAGAGAGGGGGGAAGGAGGAGCTCGAGCAGGATTGCGGGATCTCCGTCTTGATCTTTCTTTGTCCACCACCTCCTTCAGCATCTGTAGCTGCCCCGGCAGCAGCGTGAGACAGGACGGTACATTCAGCTGTGATTGGATGAGAAGAGGGAGTATTAATGAGACAGAACAATGGAGAGACAGGCTGGCACAGGGAGTGTGAAAGATTCATATTTACATCGACAACAGAGTAGAGGAATCCTTTCCACAGCTCCCGTGATTCTAAGTTGGGTGCCTGGGAAGAAGACAGCAACACTTTCACTACTTAGAAGTGTGTTTATTTGTGTTTGAGTGTGTGAGTCTAGTTGCATACTGTGAGCTTGGTCTCCCCATCCTTCATGCGGAGGATGAGTCTGGCCGCCTCCAGGTTTCTGTCTCGGCTGCAGTCATCCTTAAGGGACACAAACCCGCTGAGGTCCAGCTTCTCCACGTACTGCACACACACAAATATGTTTAAACACACCACAATGCACAAAAATCCCAACGAGGGAGGTGCAAAATCTGAAACTTACATGAGTGTCCTTTGCATTATTGAAGAAATATAAGGAGTTCCCACACAGACAGGTCCACAGCCGCTTGGATGCCTGTCACATAAAGACGGAAATCAGCAAATGTGGAAAAAAAAAAAAAAGGGATGAGCCACTGTGACAACACATCTGTACGATGGAGATTTCCCTTTTTATCACCCCCACATTTCCTGTCCCAAGAGATGGACACTGAGTGAGGCCCAGCTGCTGTCAATCTGTGGGCATGGATCACTGCAACACCCTGCACCTGAGCCAGGCTCACATTACATGTCCGTGTTGCATTAAAATGAGCCTAATGAGAGGCGGGTGGGCCTGAGGAGGGGGACAGAGAGAGAGAGCGTCCCATCCTTTATTCATCACCTCACAGAGAAATAAAACCAACAAGAAAAAGCATCCCTGAGCAGCAAGTCAATTCCACTGTGTGCAACTTTTGCATCTAGATCTTGGAAATGCACTTCAGGGATCAGACTGCCAAAGCAGTGTATCAAGATAACAGTCACAATTGGATTGTGAGTGATGAAGCTGCCTGGCAGGGATTTGCTATAAGGACACAACCACATGAGATGTGACTGGAATGACATGCAACGTTTTGACAGCAATCGGGATCCCTCCATTGACACGTTGCGATTAGTTTAGAAATTGTTGCTTTCTTGCAGAAACCCGGACTAAACCGCTATGTAGGGGGGAAAAAACCAATCCCACCAGCAGCTCCGGGGTAGTTTCGCCTCGCCCATTCTAGCACAATAAGGAAGTTGACAGCTCCCCGGGAATGGAGGAGCAGCCGGTGTGGGGTGCACACACACTCACATCCACGCACTGACCACCGCTATCTACAGCATGCACGCTGGAACAACATGGCACTGTCGGCGTGCGTCGGGGCGAGCCTACCTTCTCTTTCGGTCCTCGCTTGTCCAGGTATCCTTCGTAGTAGCAGGGCGGGAGCTGCGCCCGGTGTCCCCCCGGTCCGGAGCGCTGCCTGACGGGTGCAGCCGCCATGAGTGTCGCTGGCTGGGCACCGATCGAGGACAAAGGGGCGCTGAGTAATTCGGGGACTGACACGCCTTCCCCCCGATGAGATAGTGCTGTGGCAGTAATCCAACAGCTGGCTGATGAAGCCTGCTGTGTCTGTGGGTCATGCAGACGGCTGGTTGTGAAGATTAAACATCTGATGGTTTGGGGAGGGATGATGTCCTAAGTATGGAGATGTTTATTGAGCATAAATGTGCAAATGTCAATAAGTGGATTTGCATAAAAAATCAGGTAGGCTGTAAGTAAAAAGAGATTATGTTGGTCTTTTGTGCTAATTTCTGAATCCTCATATAAACTATATCAAACTGTTTCAATAATAACAATAAAAAAACACACAAATAAGAAAAAAATATTTGCAAAGAGACACACAAGGGGACAAATTACTTAGCATTTATTTGACTAAACAAATGAATAGCATACATTCATACACAATAATAAACATACAATACACAAGATTACACTTAGTACAGAGGTAATCCATACATCCTAAAGATAATCCAGGATAATCCCACTTCTAGTGTCCCCATAAAGTCACAGTTACAAAAACAAGGCATTGCATAAGACTAAAGCTGTAATGAAGACACATGCAAAAAAGTTCCTTTTTTTAATATATATATATACAGAAAAACTTCATTAAGATTGAAATAAAGCTTTAAGGCTGTTAATACTTCATTCATCAATATTGCAAAGTTCAGGCACAGGATTTAGTGTTTAAGATGTCAGCTGCAGCATTCGGACAGCTATTTCAGCTGTGACAGCAGCAGCCCACAAAAATTGATCTTAGCCCTTTGTTCCACATTATTCATCGTCAATATTATGCAAGCTATATAACAGCTCATCCTGAGCATCTGACCCTCCTTTTATCACAAACTGAGGGCCTCTGATTTAGTGTAATGAGGCATGTAAACCTGCACCTGAACCACGGCTATTACTCAGCACAGTCAACCCCCCCCCAGGCCCAAAACATACTATGAATAACAGAGGAGACATCAGAACATAACATTAAGAGGTACATACTATGATAGCAATGAGAGTATTATTCCAAGTATGGGCCAGGAGGCTGAGGTCCAGAGGCACCATGGGCTTGGGATGGGGCAGATAATGAGAGAGGGGGTAGGAGTATAAGGGCAGGTGGTGAATAAAGACTAGTGGGGGAGGGCATAATCCACTGCTGTGTGCCCTTCCCTTCTGAAAAGACCTGTCTGTTCCACTCCCAGTCTAAATGGAGATGGGAGAGATGAGTGGAGCTGGGGGCGGTCTAACAAGGGGATCATGACAAGAGGAGAAAGTTGGCATTTTAGTGAACAGCACAAACCCTGACAGGTCATAGTTTGCTTGTAAAAGGCTTAATTGGAACTGAAACCGGCCATTGTGTATAGACCTTCCTCATTATTTGTAAATTGAGTACACAATAACCGGGAAATAGCATTTTCTATCAGGTCCGATGCACAGTTTCAGGCTGAAAACAGAGGCAGGTACAAAAACACCAAACACACTTCAGATAAATTTCCATGCTCCAAATTATAGGTTGGAGTACTAAAGCCAAGCTTACCCCAGCACCGAGGGGGAAAACAAATCACAGACAGAAAATTCATGGACAAACAGTTCAATAAAAGCCCTCAAAATATTGTGAGTGACACTGCCAGCAGTATCAATAGAGCCTGAGAAAACGGAGGAACTAAAGGATGTATAGGGTTTTGCTTTGGTGTAAAGCTGCACAATATTAAGAGTTGGGAGAAGATAATCATTGCATAGAACCAGCTTAACTATTTTACTGAATTTCATGCATCAGTCTGTATGAAATACATGTATTTTAAGAACAAAAAAAACAGCCTCCTGCAATTTGGGAATATGGGCAACTTTTCTTTGGCATCAGTGCTAAGAAACATGAAGTTGGAGTGCTTTAAAATAAAACAACTCAAGAGCTGTGCGATGGCTTCCTAACAATTAGTGAGATAAATGTACAAATAAAGGAAGTGCATTTCTGGGTCCATCATGTTTTTAAAAAGTGACGTCTAAAACTTTCTGATAATGCTAAAATGGCAAATTACTACAAAAATGGCAACTCCAGAACAGTTACAAACGGTAGTGAGTTGTTATCTACTGAACGACTCCTGATGTTTTGAAGTTTTTTTAATGTGTATATATTTGTATTTGAAAATATATTCATATTAAAACCTAGGAAAAGCCACCCAGTGTGGATTTGGTGAGAGATAACAAACAGAAATCATATGACAGTGCCACTCAAATAAACAGCTGAGAACAACCCTTAGCACCACCAGATGGCAGTGGAGGATAGTGTCAAAGATCGACAAAAGGCAGCCAGTCGTCCATGTTGACTCTCTCAAGTCAACGACAACAACAGCGCTAAAGCCGGAAGGTACAGAGTTTAAAGATGGGAGTGTAGAAAACAGTGCTTAGAGGTATAGTTGCACATACATGCATGTGTGTAGTACCAAGATGAACAATACACGGAACAAAATATGTCATTTTGTGAATATAAAATACGAAAAATAAAGTAGTTGCACTTCTTAGTGTTTGTGGGTACTGCAGCACAAGTCTTTATAGATGCCATTGTCTCCTGGTCTTTTTTCCTTCTGTCCTGGTAATAGAGGTGTAGTGTACAAAGTGCATAGGTGCAATAGACAATGATTATAAAGACTCAGGATATGGTAAATGCACCCAAACATCATGCTGTCATTTTTCTGATTGAACAGCCCTATGGTTCTTAAGAATCCATTAAATCTTGACAGAATTTTTTTAAAAAAAGTGTCCTCTTTACTCAAATAACCCTAAGATACAATTTGGTCACTGTCTTGAGATGTTTACCCTTTAATTACAGAAAAGAGAAATATCTTTTGGTAACTGAATTGATAAGCCTCTATCCTCCCATCTCCAACCCCTCTTGCCTTGCTGTTTTCAGTGTTGCAGAGGCACCACCACTTCGACATAGTTGTTGGGGAAGTATCCTGATTTTCCGCGAAGGGCTCCTTCATACCAGTTCTCATCGATGTAACTGATCAAGGTGATGATGTCGCCCTCGTGGAAGCCCAGCTCTCCGTCATTCTCTGGCTCAAAGTCATACAGGGCTTTACAGCATGGCTCACCTGCAGACACACACACACACACAGAAGTAGACATGCAAGAAAGGAGAAAGAAAAAAACATAGTCATGCCATGAACAGAATTTTAACAACTTCCATTTAACAAGGTTAGTATATTCTCCTTTGAAGGGTTTTCATTAGAGGAATTGTGTCACCAGTATGCTTTCCAGGACTTGGGGAAAAAAAACATAAACCTCAGTCAATAAAACAGAAAATGTTGAAAGTTATAAGTTAGTCTCCAGTAGGCTGATGGAGAATTCTTCTGAAGCTCAAGATTGAAAAATATATACTGATGTTAAGCAGCAAAATGATTTAATTCCAACCATCACAGAGGATATAAATGCGAAAAGTCTTGGTTCAAAATGTTGAACTTTGTTGATACAACGCTTTTTGCATTTGCTTCCTCGTGATCTAAGATTCACCCCTTGAATACATTGTGATTCATCTTGAGGCTCAGAAGTTGGAGGAGTCAGTGAACAGGCTGTCAGATGCATACAAATCAGCCAAACCATGACAGGTAAAAACTGATGATACCATACATCCACGGTCTTGGTCAGATAAGAGTTATATTCACACTGACAAGCTCTGCTGTGTTCTGACCTGACAGACTGGACGCAGTGGACCCAACAAACACCATTCCGCAATGTTAGTTCAATACTTTACAACCACACAGCCGTGCATACACCTCTCTGTCCCACGGTGTGCAACAAACTTCATAAAAGCAGTGAAATTCTAAAGCTCCGTGTACGTGACACGCCATCTTCATCTGTCCACTCACGCGATCTGCTCTTGATGGAGGTTCTTTGGCAGTATGGACCTTGATATTGTGCTGCGGCTGGTTAATGTTGCAGAAGGAAAAAATACATCAGACATAAGAATGAGACAAACTTGCACACATGCCTTCTTGGGACAAGGCCTTGCGCACACACACACACACACACACACATATACACACACACACACACATATACAGAGAGCTCTCATATACAAAATAAGTTTACCAGGCGAGTAAGCTGGAGGGCTTGATGCAGCTGGCGCGTATCCTCCGTTTGACTGTTCTACTTCTCCAAAGTCAAAAGCTGGTCTGGGCTTGGGTGTGTATTCACGTCTTGGACGAGACTGAGCATCATTTACCCTGCACATAATCACAATCAAAAACATGACCTCTCTGAGCTCACAAGCAGTGGATCTACCAAAACAATACAGGCAAGTTAAACAAAGAGTTAAATTTCTTGTGGGCTATAATCCTGTTACTAAAACCAGAATTAGATTTTCAAAAGCAAAACATATTTGCTTAAATTTGTTATTCCAAAAGTAAGATCTATTTTATTTCTGTAATGGAGGGAAAATCAACCTAAATGATCTATACCCACAAAACCACAGACTGACATCTCAATAAAGTAAAAAAAATAAGTGATCTGTGCTTCTTATCAGCAGCTGCTTGACAAATATTTAATCAGATGGGTAAAAGAAAAGATGGTACGACTGAATCATCCCTCGTCACAAGCCAGAGGACGCAGCCTCAACATACAAAAGGCATGCCATCTTCCACAAATAGCCACGGTGCTGACCTTTCTTTCAGTTTGTCAGAAAGCCCCTCCAGGACCTGTGAGACCTGTTTGTGGTACTGCAGCAGAGACTCCACAAAGGAAGACAGCTGACTCACCTGCTCCACCTACATGAGCATGAACATAAGAGCTATTTTAGAGTTAGACCAAACACAGAAACAACTCTCAACCTACAGTAAACAAATGCTTTCCTCTTTAACTGCTGGCATTCTCCTCTCTCATCAATCCCATTTGTCTATTATTATGTCAGAAATCACAGTGACTTTGTTGCTTTGAGGCCCCCTCGTTAGCACATGAAAACAATAAATACCAGACCTAACGGGTTTGACAAGCTGACCCTACTGAAAGTCACTGTGGAAAAATACAAGGCAGCTACAATGTCAGCTGACGCACACTGCCCTTAATACATGTGTCATGCTGACTGGGTAGCTGTGGGCAGAAAGTGGCATGTACTTCCAAACTATGTAGTCAGAGATAAGGATTATCAAATAATAAAGGTAATAAAATCAGTTTGGCAACCACCTTCTGTACAGTTTTAAAGTTATCTGAAGATTCTTAATTGTCAATTTTAGTTTAAATGGTAAATGGTTTAGGGGTGCATATCTACAGAATGTAACGCCTGCAGCCTTAAATAGCTTTATTAAAAGCTACATTTTAAAATGTTTTTAAAGTCTATTATAGTTGACTATATTGTGCATAGTCATGCTAAACATGTTGACATCATTCAGGTGCTAGATTAACCACTGATTAAAATGACAAGTTACCACACCTTAAAAAAAGAGCATATTATATGTAATAATATATTTGATTTTGTATGCTGCTTATTGTGTATATTTCTCTTGTGGAATAATCAGGACAGCCTCACTAGCACGACTACAAATGCATAATTTATGCATATACAATTCTTCTACAAGCTACTCAACTGAATTATGCGAAAAACACTTCCTGATTCTCACACATGACCATGAACATGACATCACTGAATATTTCAGTTACATCAGTCTCCTTGATGTTAATCACAGGTTTACCAACAGCAGTCGACCTAAGGCAGGTAAAATGACACGTACTTTCAACTTGGTACATTACAAAAACAAGTCCAGCAGGTTTAAATGTGGTGTCTGCAAAGTGAACGAGAATAAACAACTGGTAACTCACATCTGTTTCCAGCAGGTTGTGCATAGAGCACTCAGCCAGGTCTTTGGACTCGTGGAACTTCTCCAGGGCCTGCCTGATTTCTTCATCTTGGATTTTACCTTGACGTTTCTTTTTATAGTCATAGTCTAGACGACGGCCCTCCAACTTCTTGAGGTGGTGCTGAGTACAGATATCAAAGTATTTTCAGTTAATCATGACTGTTTTGAGAAATGTTCTGTGCCACCGGTGTGATTCCAGTCTATGTGTGCATTTGTTACACATATGGACTATAAATATGCTTTGCATACTTGTGTAGCAGATGCACAGACTGCAGAGCTCGTACTGAATTCTACCTCTCTGATTCTACCTGAATGTCTTTGATGTCCTTCTCAGCGACGGCCTGCAGTGGGTCAATAAAGTTCTGCTTCACATCGATATCCAAAGAGTCCTTGAACTCGGCCATTCTTTTCATTGAGTCTCCTATGTCTACTAGAGCCGCACCTGCAGAACACACAAACATTATCATTAGGGAAGGTATAGGACAATAATCACCAGATCTTTACGACAGAAAATTAGAACACAAAAAAAATACAACTGGATTCACACAGTCCCCCTCTGTCTGAATGCTTCTCTGTTTTCATGGTTTCCAAGCATACAACATGAACATCTCTTTCACTGTGTATCTCATCCTCCTCCTGAAGCTAATGTTCTTACCGAAGTTGGTGTCCACGCCCATCTCCTGTCCATATTTAGTCATACACTCCCCCAGGAGACCCTCAGGCTGGGGGTAACCTGGACTCTTCACCTGCCCACGGATTTTGGACACAGTGTTGAGCATGGAAAGCTTAGCTCTTGTTGCTGGGTTGGGCTGGAGGTACTCTGATGTCTTACCGATGACTTCCACAACTACTTTGCTGGTAACATCTGCTTTCTGGTGGTATAGGGTAAGAGACAATAATTGATAACTGTGCACATATGCAGACTTCTATGTCTTATGTGGGTCAGAGAAACCTGGGGGACATTAGCTCACAACACAAGATATTTCTACTCCACACATGAACTTTGTTAAAATATATGAAGTACCCTTTCTAGGTCCTTGAAGTCTTCATCCAGTTTGGTTCCCTCTGCACCTCCAACCTTCTCACTCACCATCTGCGAACACAAAGCAAACAGAGCAATGACGCCGACTGAACACAGCATGTTTACTGATCTTCATGGAGGGTTACTTAAAAGATCTTCATTTGTGCGGTATCGTGATAGACTTGACATTAAATATGAGTAATTTTTATGGAAAACAACTGACGGAAAAGAATTGCTTGTGGAAATTTGTATTGATATCATTGTAAATATTTCTGAAAACTGTCTCCTGTTTTCCACTTACAGTTGCATGAAAGGCACTGGGCAAAATACATGTTTTTAGAGCATGACAAATTCTGTCTCATCAAGACTTGTGGTAACAGTCAACAAACAGGCTCCTCTAAACAACTGACCGAGGAGCTGAAAATTAAGTCAATTTGTGCCGAGCAAGGGAAGATACAAAATGTTTTTTTTTTACTGTCCGAAATGTGGGGGCTATTTTCACAGTGGGAGGCACTTTGTGTGTGATTGGCTTTAAAAAAAAAAAACAGTTTTAAGCTGTTTTATCTGTCAACGGTGGGTGACTGAGCACTGACTTTGCAAATACCACAGTTACTTTTTTCTTGTTTGTGTTTTTAAGTTTAAGTAATAAAAATTATGTTAATATTTGAAGAAAGGTTCCTTTTAATGTCTGTTTTCTGCAGGGCCTGTATTTACTTCTGTAAATATCAGCAAAATAAGCCATTTGCCTGGGAGTGCCCAAAGTTTTGCATTCAACTGTGTCTACCTTCAGAGCAAATTCAACGACAGAACAGAAGTTCTGGAGCTGACAGGGGATCAGAGGCTTGCTAGAGGCTGAATGGAGGGAACATGTTGTCAAATAGCCTGAGCGAAACCTGTAAAAAAAACTCCCTGTTGTCTGTTTCCAAACTTTAATAGACATTTATGTCCAACCACTTTGTTTTTGGTTAACACAATTCTGAAATTCCAAGACATGCCCATCGTTTCCATCGGGGGGGAGGAACTGAGTTCCACAAACTAGACTTTCCTCTGTACTGAGAGTCTTGATTCCATTAGGAATTATACCAAAAGATTTTTCTTTTTCCATCAGGTCAGCACACACACTGCAGTTTCCTACACTACAACCACATCCATGGACAATTTCACTAAACACAGATGCTAGCTTCATCTTTCTCTCACTCGGCTGGCTGGCAGACCGACCAAACAGAGACTCATTGTGTGTGCATTCTCATTTGGTTCAACTCGGTGCAGCTGTCAGCACCACACGGCACATAAAACTGTACGACCAGATGGATCAATCAATCTCTCTAGTTTATGTAACGGACAGGCCTGGCAACATTCCTTTGTGTGGAACACTCAGTGGCTCTGGAACTGCCCTGAGGAGTCATTTCCAACTGGTTCATGGCATTTAACTCGGCTCTGCGTGTTTCCTAATTAAGAAGTTGCAATTATTGAATCTCTTGGTACCAGATGTGAAGCTGTGGCAAACAAACTGGCAAGAAAAAAGCAGGAGAACTCTTTGGACTCTTTACCTGCTTTACTGCATTCATTTGTAATAAAAATGTGACCTGGACTGCATCCAAATCACAAACACAGTGAGTTTCAGCTAAAAATACAAAACTAAAGTTTGTACCTTCATTGAACAAACCCAACAGAACATTTCCAGCAACTGTGGAAAAAGTGCAAACTGGCCTTAATACATACTCTAAAACTCTTTCACAGAAATAATCTCAAACATACGGTTCACAACATTCAGAAGGCATCTGGGACCATTCCCCCTTTCTTCTTTCTTTACTACATCAGCTCAGCCATATTCTTAGGATACATACAGAGTGAAGGGTATTCCACAGTATCTCCATTGGATAAGGGTCTGGGCTCCAACTAGACTGTTTTCTTTGTCTGAATCCATCCTGACACTATCTGGTAAGATATTTTGAGAAAATTGGAAAATCATCTGCTCAGGCCCAGAGGCAGCAAAGCAGCCTAAAATCGTGATGCTCTCCAATCTTCCCCTTTGAGACATGTTTTCTTGTTGGTATTCAACGCCCTTTTTTACACCATACATACTCCTGTTTGTTTATCCCAAAACAATTCAACCTGCAGTGATGTTTTATTTAGAGAGCAGCATCTTCCTCTGAGTATCAATGCTGGGTGGAAGGTGAATTCATGAATAGAGGCGTCAACCAGCTCCAGTGATGCCATTTAGCAATTACTCTCCATTTTAGTTCTTTTTAATCACACCTAACTAGGTTTGCACTTCTATGAACAGTGGCCACAGCACTTTTTCCAAGTACCTGCTCATAGGGAACATTCGGATTTATTTGGTTTTCCATGTAGAATCTGACATGGTATTAACCTGTTTCTGTAAATGAATCAGATCATTTGGTGTAGTATATAATACCGTATAATCTTAACTTGAATTTTTAACTTAATCAGTTATATTTGTAATATATATATATACACAATACTGTAGGGTCTTTACCTTAATATTCACATACGTTTGGGAAAAATTGATCAAATAAATACTATTGTTGGGTCTGATCCTTAACATTTACACTTGTAGATAGATGTGTAATAATCTCATTTCATCTCATCTCAATCTCATCTCAGCTGACCCTCAGTAGTTTTAAATGTGCTATGTAAATAACAACGACTTGACTAGTACTGAATCACTCTCATCTACAGACAATTTGACAGAATGCGAATCGATGAATATCTAACCTCCTCAGGACTATTCTGTAACTCTTCACAGCCTCATGCAAAACAGTCACGCTTGATTGTAATTCTTCTGAGTTTTCTTGTTTGTGAGGCATGAATCACATCCGCAATTGATTCTTGTCAACAACAAACTCTGACTTGTAAATATCTTCTTTTTTTTCTTTTTACAAGTCAAGCTATCTCTGGAGCACATTTCCAAATCTGTTTCACTGATTGGAGGTTTTGCTGACTCACTAGCCCAGGATTCCCCCCCAATCCATACTAGACGAAAACAGCACAGTGATCAGTGTGTTATTTAACATAAATTGTGTTTCTACATAATTGTAAGTTAGGTGAAGATCTGACCATAAGGCAAATTTATGCAATGCAGATAATTGGGGTTTGGTTAATTTATTTTTACTTGCCAGTGAAGCTGCGTGAAATCCAAACAAGCTTAAGGTACCTCATCTAGATTCCTAATTATCAAACAAGCTTTTTGTCCACTGTGACTAATAAACATTTATATCCCAGTAAAGCGGGGGTATGTGGCTATGTGGTAAAGCTTTAGTTTTAGTTACATAACAATTACCTCCAAGTTATTTACAACTATTTGACTGAAAATGCTGAAAGCTACATTTAAATAAGAAGAGTTTAACTGCACCATGATGAACACTATGTGCTCTATGGAATCTGGATAAGTATACTTAGCCACTTCCTCACCATAAATATTCTGTTGAATCATTAAGTCATATATATTTTTATGGCAGTACGACAAAGGCCCTGCTTGGCCACTATCGAAGACAACTGATTACACTCCTGCTCCACCCCAGTACTTTCATTGCAAAGCCTGAATCACAAGATGCCACACCTGATGTGTGTCAAAGGGGAAGACATTCAACATAGGTCCTACAGGTGTACAGCAACAATGTATTTCCCAACAGTTAATCCTTCGGCAATGACAGCTGGTCAGAACCACTGTACTGTGTACCTGCAAATCCACCTGTACTGGTTTTGCGAGAGCTTGCTTGGAAAAATATTATTTTTGAGCACTTAACCTTGGTTCGTTAGGGCTGCTGCCACCTCACTGACTAACTCTATGTTGTCTTTCTTGAGAGCTGAAATCTGGTTTGGGCAGAGTATTCACATAATTAGGATTCCACTCCACACTTACTAAGAAAGACGCAATCACTGGCTTGTCGCATAGTGTCACACAAAAGCGAGGACCTGTTGCAAGCATGGTGTCCTCAGAACATTGGCCTACAGTTTTGCCGGCCATGACTTGTTGAGTTTCATGTTTGTGGTGGTGGATTCAACTGCCTCAAGAGCCAGCATTTTAATTTATTTCCTAAAGAGATGAGTGCTACTTAAAATTTGGAAACATAACATAAACCTGGCTCAATAAATCCAAGATTTTTAAAAGCAGCACATGCAGGGCTGTGATGCTGATGCATAAATTACTGTGAAAGTCTGCACACAATCAATCAAGACACCAATCAGACATTTTCACAACATGGCAAAATGTCAAGTCCATTTGTTTAAATATTTGACTTGCTTCTCTAAACGTCCAAGTCAATCTGGTGCCTGTGTTAAATTGAGCATTACGTTTTTCATGCACGCTACGTCAAACCTACTAACTGCACAAAATGTAAAATTAAATTAAATTTCAGAACGACAAGACAAACAATGGAAACTGTTTTGCCAAAGCTGAAAACAAGTTGTGACTTAGAGTCTATATAATAACAAATCATCTAAGTGCCTGCATGTTAATATGGATCATTGGAGGAGAATTGGCATCAGATCATGGCTGTTTTTTTAATAAGTGAGAAGACAGAGGACTGGAAATATGCTAATTAATTTACACACAAACAACTTAAAAATATAACCCTATCGTGACATCTAGTGAGATGTCAACATTTGATTTCAGGGCTGTAGTTAGAAACACAGGAGATACTGAGCAGGAGTTTGGTTTGTAAATAACACATTACGCAATTTGCCTTTGTGTTATATTGTTTTAAAAACATTGTGCAATCCTACAAGCTGGAGATAACAAACATGAACATTAGTTTTGAACCAAGGTATTAACAGTTGGGTGAGCAGCCAAAATTGCTCCTGAAACACAACAACAACAACACAGAACACCAACCATCTCGTACAATATAATCACTGTATCTGACACGCATCCGATCAATGTCTGACTTCTGTGTCAATCAGAGGCGACAGGAACTTCGGACAGTAGTGTTGATCTTGTACTTTGACGCTAGCTTTAGCAATACAAGATAAGTGATTGGTCGAAACTTGCCTGCAAACTCAGAACAATGAACCTACCGACGACTGACTCAGTTAACCTGTAAGTACAAGTAACCGAAAGTGCTTGAATACATAACACTAGAGCAAAAAAATACGAGGAAAACAGCCAACTGTAACGATGATTAAGTTAACTAATTAGCTAAAACCTTGCGTTGCTAACTAAAGTTAGATTAGCATTAGCTAACGTAGCGCAAAGGGTTAACTTTGACGTTACCCGTGAGCAACAATTTGACAGTTGTTGAAGTGTTTATTAACTGCATAAATGGTTGTACACAACAAGCTGAGGCGTTCAATAAAGTTGCTGTTTAGTCAATAATGTTTTATCGACACCCGTGACATTTTCCACTTTGAATAACCAGCTAGCTTGAAGCTAACGCAATAAAAGTAACGCTAATGCTAACTGGTTAGCCAAGCGACTGGCTAGAGTTTAAAAAAAAAAAAAAAAAAGTCGTGCGTTTACCTGACTAGCTTTGTAAAACTGCTTCTTAAGTCCTGCGACAGACATCTTGCACCGTCAGAGCTGCCACCTGGACCACGATAGGGGAAAAATGTGTGGTAAATAGTTGCTGTGAGTTCACAGCACAAACAGCAGTCGAGCAACACGTCTTCAAACTTTGCACTGTGGATGAGAAACTTGCTAGGCAACCACAATTTCCTGGCCCGAGCTGCATGTGGGAGGCTCCTTCCTGCTGGATAAAGTGGGTCAAAACCAGACTGTCTAAAATCTTCAACTGTACAGAAACCGTAGACTATATAAAAAGCCACAGACTTTATATAAAAAAAACCCTTAGACTGTATACCATAGTGACACAAAACATGAATCCAAACATCCTCTTTCTCTGCAAACTGACTCAGTAAATGAACTGGTGACTTTGACAGCCCTCCATGAATCACTATTGTACTGTATGCTGCCAACTTCTCTGTTTATAATAAATAACTTGTTATTTAAGTTGGACATATGTACATATGTGTATGATCTATTACTGAGAAACTTTTACTTTTCCTGAAAACTTGAAGGTCAGATCAAACCACATCTACTGTGGAGGACTTTGGCTTCAGAAAAAACAGATTTTTCATGACAAATTTTAAATCTTATTTAATTGGTAAAGATATTTAATTTATGATACAGTACTAAGAAAAGCAGCAAATCCTTGTTGGGGAGAAAATGCAACCGAAGAATGATAGCGTTGTAAAGAGAGGCCTTTTTGCAAAATATTTATTTCTCTAGCTGTAATAAATAACAATTATTTTCACCATTTATTACTTCATCTATTGTTTTCTGAATTAATCTGTCAAAGAATGCCTTTAAATTTCCATTTAAAGTCCACTGACTTTGGCATCAGAAAAAGCTTTATAGAAGTTCATGTAAGAACTTTCATAATTAATTGTAAATGTTAATTTAAATTGATGTATTGATTTATGATGTAATACTGAGAAAAAGCAGCAGCTTCTTGTGTTGGAGACGCTGCACCCAAGAGCAGTTGGAGCTGTTGATAGATTAAGGAAATGATTATTTAACAGAATGTCGGCAGATCAGTTTTTTGTCAGTCTATCAAAAGAGTTACACGTAAAAGTCATCTGCATGGTAGAAAACTACAGTATTACAGTGCATAACACAAACGCCAATTTGTGATTTCAAACAGTTGATGTTCATAATATCAGGTCAATGATTTTAGAGGCCGTCTGATTGGTCAACCATATATTCAAAAAACCTGTTATAGATACTGTACAAAAGTAGTAGACACTAGTTAGTTTTGCATTAGTGTCATATAATGCAGTAAAACACAAACTGAATTCTTATTCAGTGTTCACACTAGATATTACCTTCACAACAGCACCAGTTGTCCCAGGTTTATTTGTCCAGTTTATCAAGGTACTTGGAAGATAGATTGCTTTAAGAAATTTAAAATTACTTGCCACAATTTTTCTTTGGATTTGTGCTACTTTGGTTGCTTCTCTGTCTTCATGTAATCCCAGACTGACTTCCTGATATTCTCCGGGGGGCCTGGGCATCTGCTGCATCACTCTCGTGGCTGAGGATAGCTCTTTAGGAGTCTGGCTGTTCGTTTGGGGTCATTGTGATGCTGCAGAATGAATTTGGGACCACTTGGACGCCTCCCTGATGACACTGCATGGTGCATAAAGGCCTGAACATCTATAGTGCCTCAACACTTTTTCACAGGACTGTAAATATCAATCTAAAAGCTCAAATAAGACGCAAACATTTCAAAAGAAAAAGAAACCATTTATTACATTCTTAAAACCACATATAATGTATCCCATTGGACAACAATATATATCGAGTTGTGTGACTCAGTTACTCTTGGACTAGTAATATACCTCTTGTACATTTTGTCATACAGGGAAAGAGAAGGGAGACAAACTATTTTTTTTGTTTGTACTTGTCCTAGTCTTTCTTCAATTAAAAAAAATAGATCACTGACTTTACAAGACAAAAGTGGAGACAGTTAAAGAAAAATGTGGATAAAAGACTGACAAATAAAGGAAAATCACAGCAAAAGAAACATTTAAACCCCAATAATGAAATTTAACTATAACTGATTTTTTTTTTTTTTTTCAAAATCCTATGCATCTTAAATTTAATGTTACAATATTAGGACAAACAGGAAGGGCTTTGACACTTTGTGAGTAACATTCACAAAAATAGAACTTACGGCCACAGTGATTATGGTTATGGGTCTCATCTTAGGTGCAAAGGTGTGAGGAGTACAAGGCTAAAAGACGACACTGGTAATAAAGGGACGAGAGATCACAGCTAGCTCCCTGAGCAGCAGGCGGCGGCGGCAGCAGGTCCTCGGACTCTGCTCAAGAACTTCACAGCACCCCACGTAAGACATTGCCATCATCATCTCGATGCTATAACAGCCTTCAGAAATCGTGTTCGTTATGTACATAGAGATTATAAACAGTTCCTGGTAACCCGGTGTGACAGATCTGGAATAAAAAATGATTAAACAGACTGACTGAAGTCTTACTGGCTTTGAAAAACCAACTCAGGGGGGCAGCTGATCGCTCTGTCTGGCTTTAGACGAGTGTCCAGTGAGAAAGAGGAAAGTGTAAGTGCTTGGTATTCCGACGTGTTGGGGTTTGGGGCTAAAGGAGAGAGGAACAGCAAATGTACAAAATAATACAGTTGCACCAACCAGCAAGGAGGGTTTATGATACATAGCAAGGACCATCGTCCTCCCGGCCTTTAACAAACAGAAACATTATGAGTGAAAGACAGTTATACTACAACTATTGTACTGGCTGCTGGTTAGAAACAGGTGGGGAGACCCGGCATGTCCCCAGTTATTGTACAGTTCTTGAAGTCATCTTTTGCCTTGCTTTCTCTTTTCCTAAGTGTCCCGTTTGTCCTCTTGTCTCGTTAGGCAGGGGGCGGGGCAGCAACAGTGCAGACTGAAAGCTGACAGTTTAAATGCAAGGCAATGTTTTTTTTTTTTTTGTTTGTTGCCCTTGTTTGAGTACACTGCCTCCCCTGCTGTGTCGCATCCGCAACAAGTGTCCACCCCATCGCTTGCGTGATGGCTTTTGCCGTCGGGGCAAGAAGGGGTTGTTGCCGTGGAAACCTGAGAGTACTGTCACGAGAGGAAAAAATCGTCCAGAAGAGAGAGAGAAAAAAAAAAAAAAAAAAGAGTCCAAAATATCAGCTTTCTTCACTCATCCGTCTTTTGTCCCTCTTCTCACATCTCGCCATCCACTTTTCTCTCCCTTTCGATCTGAACTGAACTCACACATTCTAACCCTCTCCATATACTTATATAGTCATCTATTTACATTCTTATTTAAAATATTTGTCTATAAATGTGTATATAAATTAAACATAATTTCATCTTGTCCTGTCTCTAAGTGGCATTTACAAGGAAAGGGGTGTGTGGGACTGAGGTTTCTCATTGCATTACAAGAGCCTACAAAAAGGCAGCACCGAACACTGTCTAAATGTGTATGAGACTGGTTCTGAGCTGATGAACGAGTTCAGCTTAAGCTGTGAGTCGTATCAAATTTTGTGTTTTTTTGTATATCAGAAAAATCTCTGAATCATGATCTTGGTCCCTAAGTGATGGTCAGTACAAGAATATTGTCGGTATGAATACGCAGGCGTACCATACTGAGATGCATGAATATAGAGAGGAATATTGACTGAGAGCTGTATTAATTGTGAGACTTATTGATCTATGCAACTTTGTTCTAATACTATCAGTAAAACTCTGTCTCAGAGTGGCAGGGTCGTACATTCACTGTTGTTTGGGTTCTCGTTTGTGCACTGGTGCTTATTGATGAGGTACATTCATAACTGGTTGGGTTGATCCGCAGCGGATCAGATGTTTAACAAGTGTTAGAGCTTGGAGCTTTTACATGCTAAGTGGGCTGTGGTGATAGTATTACGACGCCCATGCGCTCGTTGTTAATGCTACAATATGCAGAGGACCATGAGCATGTGTGGTCTGTAGTGTAAGGTGCTTTGCCTGCTGGGAAAGTGGAGGACTACTTTGGGATCATGGGAGACGGAGTATTTAAAGTCCTGGATTGTCTCTTAACTGCTGGTTGTTGAGCTTCAACATCTCTATCCTTCTCTGTCTCTCCTTTTGCTTCCCTACCTCCTAATACACTCTCCATCTCTTTTGTCTGTCTATCTGTCTGTCTAGCTGTCAGTGGAGTCAGGCAGAGACATCTCGCTGCCAAACACTTCCCGGTACAGTGGTGGGAAACTGTAGGCGGTCTCTGGGTGGACCAAACGGAAAAACTCCAGTTTGTCGATGTGGAGGTTACAGATAGACTTCATTATGGGCAGCTTGGACACCATCTGTGGGGACAGAACAAACTCAAAGGTAAATATGCGAATGTGGAACTGTGGCTGTGTTTAAGAAGAGCAGCGGCGACTTGTGTTTACCTTGTCCAGTTTCTCGTCAGACGCGCCGCTCTTATGTAGACTGTGCTGCAGAGCCAGGTAGACTTTCTCCTGGAGCTTCTGAACCTTCTGGCCTTCTGTGAGCCAGGGTCGATCTGTAGGAACAAAGATATTAACCCCTCAGTTTTCCCAGTTTGATTCTATTTAAGTTGCTTTAAGGTTTTTAAGATTATACTTCATGCCACTGATCAGCTCCAACAATTAAACCAACAGGTGAAGTGAATATTTTGTCTAGAGCTCAGTGCTTACACTCAGTGAAATATTTAATGTTTCTTGTACAGATATACTGTTCAAATGGAAATAATAGTGGCAGATAATCTGGTATGTCTGAAAACTCTCCAAGAACGGAACAACCCTGTCTGCTATGACTACTATTTTCACTTCTTCTTTAACATGTTTGTGTTTATGTATGTGTGCTTGAGCAACAAAACAGAAGAAAAATATTCACCAGGGGATAGAAGGACGGCGGCACTAAACAGAGCCATCTCCTCGTCCGACAGCTGCAGACGGCAGAGTCCTTTTCCAAGATCAAACACTGCGCTGACCAGGTCATCACAACCTGCACAAACACATTATGTTTGGTGAATTCATTGTCAAAAATAATAACTTGAAAACTTGCTTTATTAAACTACTAAACCAAGAGATACCCAAGAGGACTAGGAGGATTCACTGAGGCCTTTATCTCATGAACATTTAAATG